CCAAATATAAAGGAAAATAGATGCACATCTGGGGGCTTTTGTGTGTTTTTTCCCCCTTTTTTTCTGGAGAGATGTAAACAGTTACACATTAAGAAGGATGAAGAAACCTAGTTCATCAGATAGAGTATGTGGGACAAGGGAATAACAATTGTAATGTACGCAATAGTTCAGACATAAAATGTAATCTTAAGAAGATCTAAATCTGAAATTTGTGGACTAAGAGGAAGCTATGACCTTTGATCTCATGAGAAAGTTTAAGTCAGCTCCTTCAGGGTGCTACCCTAGTCTGGTTACCAAAAAAAGGGGATAGCACTTCCTCTCATGTAGCATATTTCCTTTCCTGCTGACGATTCTCAGAGCAGCCAGTAGATATTGTGGAGCCAATCACAAATAAGAAAGTATAAAAGAAGAAGGAAGGTAAGTAAGATATCCTGTAGGGCAATGGTGGCAGGACCAGCAGCATGCTACTGTTATCTACATGGTATAGATAAATGTCAGCACTTCATGTCCAGAGTGGCTCTTTGGTAGGCTCAGATGAGAAGGAGAATATTTCTGATACTGCTTTCATCAGGCAGTTTTGAAGCACATGCCTGGAGAGGTCTGCAGGACTGGTCTGAAATAAATACTTGGAAGTACAGCTTGCATGTATCTAACTGTTTCTACTGATTCATTCCTATTGTGCTGCATTTACTTAAATAACATAGACTATCCATTTGTATTTCAGACTTGAAAAATTGATGTGTTGTATTGGATTTTAATGCTTCTTTCTGTCCCTATGGTTAAAGGTCTTGCAAGCGATGCAGTGAGCATGTGAGTGGCCTCCCTCCAAACCAGGAAAGTAATTCCCAGAGGTATAATAAGCAGGGAAAACAGCAGAGTAGAAAGAATGTCCTTTGAGTCCTGTTTTTCATTTTGACTTCCAGCAGACCAGAAACAAGGAGTCACAGGCAGAAAGGGTCATCAACATTTTGCAGCATCTCCTAGTTTGGAAACTGTCTTAGGAATGGAAGTGCTAAATGGGACTTTTCACCAGGACTGAAATCAGCTTGCTGAGCTCTGGGGTGTTTAAGCCAATAGCAATATAGCAACAGCAAACCCATGATGTGATCTTTCTTTGTTACATACACAGCATAGTTAATGAGCACATGCACAGTAGTTCTGTTTTCTAAATGCCAGACTCACTGTGCTTGCACAAGAGTGTTTCCTATGAGTAATAAGTCCAGTACTTTTTGGAAGAAGAGCTTTATCGCTCTTATAACACCACTCGCAGACAGGATGTGCTCACAGCCTGCTCAAATCCTGCTTCTTGTCTAGTTCTGCAAAGCACCTAAGAAAAGAGGCTGGCTGCCTGCACATCACTGCTATTCCCAAACCTGCTTTGTGCTGAGACCTCTCCGTGCAGGAAGGAACAAGCTGCTTTAAGAATAACTCTGAAGCCAGGAGAAAGCTGCTCTCAGCTAACATCTTACTTCCATCTGTCAAATGAGAGCATGTGTTCCCATTATATGCCAGGAGAAGGAGCCATGCACTGAGCATCCCACACAAAACCAATCCTTCTTCTTAGATAAATTCTGAGATAAGCTGGGATAATTGTCATTTTTTTAAAAAATCCTTTTAAGGAACCCACTGAGGAGTCAACTGCACATAGGTTTGGGATGCTGAAATAGCTGGACAATGCTCCTTAGGTTTTCTGTGTAACGTAAGTGTGACTAAAATTTTATGTCATGATTCTTATTACTTTCTTAGTTACCATACACTGCATGCAGTTCTTTTCTCAGTATTTATTTTCTCAAGGTATTTTCAGCTTCAGTATGTTTTTATACGTTAGCTCTGCTTTTCAACATATCTGAACTTTTTTTCTAACAAAGCATATAAAATCCTCCAACAAAAATTTATGGATTTTATTTTTTCATACAAAAGTCTTAAATGCAATATTAAACTCTGCTATGAAATTTAAGACAGATGTCATCTATAAAATACTTCCATTTCAAGAATTAATTTTGCAGAGGATATTTCTACCAGAGTCTCTTAACCTTACATTATTAAAATAGGCCATAAATTGCTCTAGTTAATATTAAGGTGAAACTTAAGTAACTTAAATTACCTTGGTACAAGACAAGAATTAGGGCTACAAGCTCTAATCCAACAAAAATAAAGAGTATTTTGGAAAGAAGCATTCTATCTATCTCAAAGGTTTCAATCATACCTACCTACTGTTGAATATACCATTTTTCCCTCTTATGAAATGTTCTTCTCAAATACAGGATATAACGGGAAAACATTATGAGAAATCCAGGTAAACATACCCTTTTATGCAGTTAAACACCACATAAGAAACTACAATGATGAATTAGTCTATATTTGGCCAAAATCTGGGTATTTAAAACCACTTCAAGCTCTAGGCAACTGTTCCTAATCAGGATACTAGTGTTTTACATCTAGAAACTCATCACTTTTTAGGAAGGTAGCAATTATGAGTAAAAAATTTCACCTACTAAATACCTGTTGCATTTCCAGGATGCAGAGATGAAGATGTATCAGAATAACAAAAAGAGCTTTTAAAGAGGTATTTTAAAACTTGATAACAGATTTGTTGCTTGATTTTTACCTTCCAGACTTATTCAGTGCTGCCTGAGGCTTTAAGGAGGTGTTTGATAGGTGTTTTTTAAAGCACTTAACTTCCACCTCAAAATATGAGCTAAAAACTATCTCAGGACAGGAAACATTATTAGTAAAACTAAAAATAACACCCTCAGCAATGCCATTAAGTAAAAAATGCATGGAGTCATCGAGATTTAAATTAAATGAGGAACAGAAAAGAGGTACATGTTCAAAACAAACAAACAGAATTTTTATATAATGAGATTCAAATTAGTGAGACTCCAATTACGGTTTGAGGTCTTAATATATTTAGATGGTATGCACTATTTTGAATGCAGGATGACAGAGCTGAACTTATCAACACAATGAGATATACAGCAATGTTTCATGGTTTGTTGCAGGATGTGAAAGTGTTTTATGTCTTTAGCAAGCTGTTGTGAATACAACACAAGTGTGTTAGATAAAATTAGATAAAACTTCCCGTGATCCTAATTTTTGGGCTCTATAACCTACCTTCAAAAGAACTCAGTTTATATAGGAAATAATGTGTTTTTACTATGTAAGCTTTCTTACATTGCTGAGTCATTTATGTGGAGAAACATGACACACAGCTTCAGCTTGCAACTTTGTTTTGGTGTAACATCTTTGCAGCAAAGATATGTTAAAACATGGTCCTTAGGGACTGCCTTTTTAGCTCAACAGGGAAGGAGCTAAAAACTATCTCGTTCATGCTTGGAGCTTCAAGCCATCTTGTGTTACTTAATTATCTTCGGTTCAGAATTTATCTGAGTAACTGCATAACCATCCTGTTCTCAACTGGTTTTCAAGGGTACCTCTAGGTCTCGATTGTGTCTTTCATCAAGCAGATTTTAAAAGGACTGCAGTTGTAGTTTTATAACAGAATCTGCTCTCAGCATTAGTAAACTCTCCAAAAGCAGACAATATTAGCAATGTTTTCATAAACACCAGCCAATGAGTGCAGATAGCACTATCATGATGATATATTAACAATTGATTCATTAATTTTGAAGAATGCAAACAAGACTACATGAAAGCTTATCTCTCTAAGAAGCAAGAAAAACAGAATAAACATAAAATATCATCAGCTACGAGCTCAGCTAACAACAACAAAATTTTTGCTTGAATGATAGTATTGCTGACAAATTCATATATCGAACTTTAATATCTTTCATAATTCGTCAAATGCTACTTTTAATTCCCTACTTCTTGTACCATCTATCTCATTTGTCTAATATGGTACATAGAAAATTATTATTTTTAATGATTTTTGAGGTTTCTGTGCACAGACTCACATTGTAGTATGTATGGATTGACTAACACTTTCAGATTCAGAAACTACTTCACAACTTCTGATTTTCTGATACCAAAGAAACCCTTGTGCTCTTTTACAAGTCATCCATCCAGGAAGCCTTGATGCATCAAAAAGCCTTTTCCAATAAGGTCTGCTTCATTATCTAAACTGAAAAATCCTTTAATAACTCTTGTCATTCTCCAGTATTATGAAACATCAAGTGGACTAATCTCTACTTACCTCGATTATTTCCCACATGCTGCTACCAGAACATTCAGTGCACTTTACACTTGATTTTATTCCTGCCTTAGTATTTTGCACAAAGTATCATCATCACATGTGATGATGATAAGGCCTTCTGAGCCTTACTGGTGCCCACTATTCATCATCCACTTTTAAAATTTTCCAAATTAAAGTAGTAATTTTCCATGCTAAGTCCACCATCTCTTGTTTGGAAAGGTAGTAGATGCCTCCTTCTACTGGAAGGAGTATGGAATGGAAGCAGAAGTGATAAATTCTGGTATGCAGAATATTCTACCACTGATTTTAAAATCTAAATTGGCTAGCACTAAAAATGGTTGGGAAAGTGGCTGTAAGTCTTTCTGTCTGCAGCTGAGAAGCAATTCATATACGCAGCAGAAAATGAAATATGCAACCTGCAGGAAGTCTCTGTATCTCACACAAAAGCCAACTATTAGGAAAACAATCTTTCCTCTAATGCTTTTGAGTACTTATATAAAGGGCAAACTATTTCCAGGGCAACTGCTATGTTAAGACAGGCATTCTGGGATTCATGGACAGCCTTATTTACACATATGTAATGTCAATCTATAAATAGGCTGAAAGGCCAGAAGTAACTCAAATACACTCTAAACAGCCATCAAGTCACATTACTGATTATACTTTCTTTTGTCAACCACATCTGTATGGAGAGAGTCCATCATTATTTTATGCCATGTTTGCATATGCAAAAAACATGTCTACAAAACCAGTGGAGTTATATCTATCTCCATTTGAAAAAGTGTTTTAGAAAATGTGAATACCTCAGGGGTTAGTCCCCTCACTTGTATAATAACAGAAGGCATACCTTTGGGAGAAGCTGGATTGCTTGGAGTATTCTCTGTCTGTGCCCAGAGTTAAGGATTCCTATTTCCAAGAGATCCTGGTCCTCCATCACGTTGCTTCCCTAAAAATGAGGAAAAAAGTTGAAATAAAAATGAAAAACTTAACAGATGCCCTCAATAGCCTGAAAAAGGCCTTTCTGTCACATTTGAAAGAGAACACTTGGCTTAACTTATAGCATCTGACAAGAACAATAAAATACTGGTTGCATTAATTTTCACAATAACAAAATATGGTGGAAGGTGCTCGAACCCATGGACTGTTGCAACACTGCTGGCAGCACAGTTGAGAAATTGTACCTCTCACTCAAGCCAAATACCAGATGTGAACACTCTTTCATTTGGAACCAAGGACTTGACTAAAAAATTGTTCAGGACCTCTCAATTTTTTCAATTCACCTCCTACCTCACCTAGCTATTTATGATGTTAATTTTTCTCTGGACTGAGAAAAGAACCCAACACAGAATAAGATGAGGAGAGTGGATGAGGATAAAATTACTTGTTCATTGATAGCAAAATGATGAAGAAAGGGACAGGTATCAACAAATTGTGCAGTCCCCATCCCCCTATATTTAACTGTACCAGTTCAATCCTAACTTGTCACTGCTTTTATCTTTCTGCTTGTGGGCAGGTCAAATAGTTCCAAACATTCAAATAGCTGAAAAAGACCATCTGTTCAAATAATATACAAAACAACTGGCAAGAAAAGTTTATTAAATAAACCTCCACAATTCAAACATCTCTTCTTAGGAGTTGTTAGCAGTAGGAGCTACACAAATAGGACAATACAATTTGTAAATTCAAAAAGTCTGACATCACCCAGTAAGTTCAGCATTTGAAGGTCAATCTTCTAAAAAGCCAGCAGTGACTATTGGAGGAATCATTGGAGGTACAATAGTGGCTCAAAAGGGGAACTGCAGATGGATCAAGTCAGGATTGCTGGCATTCTTGTATTCTTTTTTGATCTCGTCATTTCGTAAAATAAGTCAGATTTTAAAAAAGATATTTAATTTTAAAAAAGTTTCTATTACAGTTGAAAACAAAACCTGAAAAAACAGAAGACCTGTCCTGATCTCTTAGCCCTGTTGGAGTCTCATGACACTAATTGGCTAGAAGCAAGAATTCTTACTTGTGCTCATCTAATTTGATTATGAAATAGGCTTTATGTGAGCAAATCTGTGAAGACTTTACCTCTACCTTTCCATTTGGAGCTTGCTTCTTTTGACTTAGCACAGCTCTTAAGAAGTGACAAAATGAAAAGCAAATAGGCACATAAGAGAACATGCTTAAATGCTTTGCTGAGTCAGGGCTTAATAAAGGATATGACTTCTTTCTGAATATAAAATCTCCTGTCCCAAAGCATCATGGATTTCTTTCAAAAATCGCCCTGGAATATGGAAGACTTCACTCTGTTCAGCTGCTAAATCTTCTATGTGTTCAGATGGACTGATTAGTTTACAGGTGCACCCCTGAGGACTCCCAAGTTCGTCTCCACAGAGTACCCTGCAAAATCTAGGTGAGGTCTTCTTAAGAGAATCGAGGAAACCTTGCAAAGCTATTCTATTTTATGCTATATTTTACAGTAATTGTAATGATTTAAGGCTACAAGTCTGCAAATCATACCCTGAAACAATTGGTGTGCAGCATGCAGAACAGGTCAGGCAGAAACCTTAGCTCTACAAGGAGAGCTGTGCAATGATGCCAGATTAAATAGATCACCCGGTATAAGTGTGCACGCAGCACGGGCTGTGCAAACAGTGAGAGTGATTAGGTGGGGGTAATACCCCCTTCATCTCCCTGGTAAACACATAAAAATTATAATTTCCTCTTTCTGCCTTTCTCTTTTAAGTAACCAAAAGGAGGCTGTAAACTTACAGCAGAAATTCTTGAAAAAAGCCATCCATTTTGGGCTGGATTCTCCAGTGGCTGGAAATAGCTAGCATAAATGGATTTAAGGAAATGGAGCCAACTGAGGATCCAGTCCAAAACAAAGGCTATGCATTTCCATTCATTTTAATAAATGCATCTATTTTGTTTGCAGCTACTGCTTTCACTTCATTATTTAACAGTTTTTTAGATTTCACCTTCATTACTGCATGATGTTTACACATAATCACAGTGTAGTCATCGCTGTTTACTGATGCCAATAACCTTGGCATTGGCTTCAAATATTACAATGTTTAAAACTCAATTAAATTAACAGGCACAGGAAAAATATTTGCACATAGTTGCTGCATCACAGAGAAAGCATTATTTTATTAATTCTTTGTTATTGTTTTTTCCTTATGTATTATTTAATGTATTTTTTTAAACTATGTCAAGGTTACAAAAGCAAATATTTAAAACTAAGGAAAGCCTGGAATTCATGTTGCCTCCTTATTCCCAGTTTAATAAGGCAACAACCTTGTCTTTGAATGAGCTCAGGTTTTAGAGCTTTGCTGTGTCAATGTTAAATGTCAACAGCAGCAGACACTCATCCCTCCTGTAAAACTGATTTTATTGTCTTCTGTCAGGGAGCTAAAACAACTTTTCATCTTTCCATAACAGCAAACCAGGAAATTTAGATACTCAGTATAATCCACTACTGCTTAGCATAGAGGCATAAACTCATAGTTTATGAATCTATGTAGTAGAAAGCTGCTGTTTTGTTTGCAGAAATACTTGCAGAAAGAAAGAGCCTATCCCTCACAGTCCTGCCTCCCTAGTATCTGCTCACATTGCCCTCTTCATCCTGTTTCCTGATTTTTTTTTTTTACCTGATTATTCCTCTCGTGCTCCTCCAGTCCCTTTCCATAGGCTCCTACACAGAGAGTGAAGAAAACCTAACTTCCTTCTGCTGCAGAGTAGCTACAAGGGGAGAAACTCTGATCTTAGCTTCCATTTATTATAAGCTGGGCCAAACGTAACCTCAATTAACTTTACAGAGATGACATGGTAAATGTAATTAAAATGAATATGAATGCAAGACTGTCTTGTCACATTATTTCATCCTTAAAAATAGTTGAGCTACATTAGTTGAAATATTCACCAAAAAGAAATTATCCTAATAGACACCTAGAGAATTTGAGCCCAAAGATTTATGTTTTATATGCTTACATGCAAAACAGCTTCTTATAACAGGAAATATGGGGCAGCAATCTCTGTTGAGCTTATTATGCTTTCTGTAATGAAAATATAAAAGACTTTGTGATACTTTAGTTTCTTAAGTCTATAGGAAAACTTAGTTGGAATGAAAACTTCTTAGAATTAAAGCCATAAAAAAACATCAAAATTGTTTATACAAGGACAGATTCAGATCTATTTCACTTCAGTTTACAGTGTTCAAATTCCTGTCTTATTAATGCATAATATTCTAATGAACTGGAAAGATCCTGCTTCTGAGTTCCAGTAAGAAAAGAGTGTGTCTGAAACCCTCCACCTCCAGATTTGTGGTTCTGCACAACTCCTAGGATTATCTTTTTCCCTGTAAGCACACACAGGAAGCTAATCTCCTGAGCAAGAAGGCAGTGGTTTCACAGAACAGTTGGGCTCAAAAACGAAGGAGAAACTGCATGTGGGAGACTGAAGGCATATGAAAAACAACATAATTTTAAAAACCCAGAAATTTTGCCAAATTCTGAGATAGTTCCTATAAATTACTTCAGAACAAAATGCATAATGATACATTATAAGATAAAGATGTCACTGGTATTTATTTGGGTTGTTTAATATAAAATCACCTCTGGAATTATCCACTAAATACAATCTTTCCCAAAAATTCTGGATTAGACCTAAGCACCCATATGCATTCTACCTCCTGCAGGAACAAAAGAGCTCTGAAGATTTGTGCCCAAAGATAATAAAATACGGTGACTGAAGAACATATTAGAATGGCAGGCATCACTATATGTTTCACATTCCTCCTTTTGTACCTATGTTTTTAATCTTCCTTCACATATTTTCCGTGCTGGAGAGCTATAATGAAAAATTCTAATGTCTGGTTGTGTCACCTAAGAAAATGGTACAGAAGCTTTAAAATAGCTAGCGGATGTATTACTAGACCTATCTGGAAATTCAGCCCCTGAAGTTGGAAGAGATGAGCTGTGAGGAACAAAAAAACTGACTGAAAAAAGGAGAAAGAACAAATTGACTTTGAATTTAAAGCTTTCTTTCTATCCTGCAAAGGAAAAAGACTTACATAAGAAATAGAAGATTTGGAGACTTTTGGCTTTAGGCTGGAAATTCCAGCTTTACCAGTTCTTTCAGTGTTCATCTGTGGCAGCAGAGGAGGAAAAGTAGTACATCTGCTACCTAAAGCTGTTCAACAGATAGAGTCAAAGTCATTTGCTGTGCAGCCATTATTGAGACCAAAGTTAGCTGAAGATACCAAGTGCTACTGGGGGTAACGACAACTTCTGGTAATGCTTTATGCATCTGATGTACTGGAAGCTGGTTTGACAAAGAACAGGACTGATGTGGGTAAGGAAAGGATGACTTCTGATGTAAGTACAGGGTTGAGGGGGCAGCAGAGGTACTTGCATCACTCCCAATTTGAAAGGAGCATCTCCTTTGCCGTCTCCCAGCCATCCATGTAGCAATCTGCTGCATCGTAAACATAATGAGATCAGAAGAGATGGAGGAGTTGGTTCAGGTGGCATCCAGCACGCAGCAGTGGGCAGGATGGTGTGCATGTGTATGACAGACAATGTCTGGTGGGTGTTTGAAGTGCCTTGCCAATGTCTCCACCAGAGTGTACTGCACCGAGTCTCACCCTTGATGAACTGAGACCTGGCACTGCAGGAGCACAGCTGGGGGATTTCACTGGAGCTGGGCAACAGGCCTCATACTTCAGCTTACAGAGCTGCTGGAAATATGGCCTGGCACAGAAAAGAAAATCTGCTGGGTTGTACACTTAGCTGGAGTATCCAAGAGTACCATTACCCCTGTCACTGAGATAAGAGAGGTGGGAACAGGGCTGGAGCAGATGGGAATGTTCTTCCATTATACGTGGCTGGAGACTGAAGTCAGAGAGAGAAAACTGACATCACCAGCACCAAAGAGCTCTATTCTTCCTTACTTTCTGTC